ATTTTTTGTCGTTTGACAGCGTGAAACTCTCTGTAGTGCGTTTGCGATTCGGTTTCAGCGTTCTACGTAAAAAAAAATGTTTATCAAATAATTTAGTGTTAAAGACATAAATCTGAAAAGTGCTCTAGCAACGTTACAAAATTTCAATTTACTTTGCATTCATCTTAAAGGCGCACATATTTTCATATGTACGGATATACATATCGTCGATGTTTTTGCAAAACCGCCCATCGACCAATTGCAAAACCGCCTATCTTACGGCACTGCAATTTTACAGGAGAGCGAAAAAACTGTTTTTTTTTGAAGGCGTTGTCTTGATAGGCGGTATTTTCTCTAGCTATTATTTTACAAATCTGTTGTTTTAATAACGATTTTACGATTCTTATGGAAAAAATACTGGTTACCTGGAGTTCCAGGTTACCAAATCTAATTTTTGCCACAATGACGATTTAGGCAGTTTTGCAACTGGTCGATGGGCGGTTTTGCAAAAACATCGACGATATGTTTGTTCATATGTAGTTAACTTACATACATATGTTTCCACAGAATGCTATATTTCCTTGCAATATAGATATAAATACTACTTCGTTTGAAAACAGGTATGGTTTTCTTATATAAGTGTGCATAAATTTCCAAATAATTTGCAAAAATCTCCACATACAGAACAAACATAAACCAAAATGTATGCTATGCACTTATATTAAACGTTTTCACAGTTTCCTATGTTTGTCTTCATCTTAAGCAGGGATCACTCGATTTGTACATTTTGGCAGGTACAGAGTGGTATTGTTCGGAAATTCTTTTATTGAGCTGAACTTAAATTTCTAAACACCACTCTGTGTCTGCCAAAATGTACAAATCCGTACAAATGTACAAATCGGGTGATCTTCGCTTAACAGCCGCTTTACAGCGTTTTCAGTACTGCTAGTGATAGCAGAGCGTAATTTGCCTAAGTAGTATAGCTTTAGGCACTGGTATGATAGATTCTTTGGTGAATTCTTTGGTAAGGTAATATATAAAAAGTTCAAAATAAAATAATGAAAAAGAAATATTTGTTTTTAAACAAGCTTTTATTTAACATGTACAATCAAAAGAATAAAATAAAGTAGTGTTACAAAAGATTTTTTAGCAAGAAAATTTTGTAAAAACTGCAGTAAAATTAATAAAATAAAATAAGTTAAGCTTTCGTTAAAGTTACTAAAAGCCAAATAGTGAAAGCACTTACTCAAACTCTAGTGAAAATTACTAACAATTTGTACTGATTCACTTCGTTTTTAAGTTTGTCGCGCGAAAAGCGAACCCGCATTTACATATCTGCATACATACATAATGTGTACATATTAAGATATGTAAGTAAATGCCGGTTCGCTATTCGCGCGACAAACTTTTTTAAAACCGAAGTAAATCAATACAAATTGTTAGTAATTTTGATTAGAGTTTGAGTAACTTCTTTCGCTATTTGGCTTTTAGTAACTTTAAAGAAAGCTTAAATTATTTTGTTTTATTAATTTTAGTGCAGTTTTTACAAAATTTTCTAGCTAAAAAATCGTTTGTTACAATACTTTATTTTATTCTTTTGATTGTACATGTTAAATGAAAGGTTGTTTTAAAAATGTATTTTTTTACATTATTTTATTAACATTTATTATTGCTTTGAAAAAGGTTTCTAAGATATCTTTGTTTGTATGTACCTAATTAATGGTAATTTGTAACAATTAATTGCACAAAAAATTAAAAAAAAAATTGTACTCCTTTTTTATGTCTTGTACTGCTTTTTTTCTATCGAAAATATAAATGTACACCTTCTCCGTTTCAAAATCTGGCAACCCTAGTCACGACACCTAAGTTTTCTACTAAATATACTGTACAAGATCCCGATATTGGGAAGTCCTTTCCAAAGTAATGAAGTTTAATGCTAAAACTTACTTAATATTGCTGAAATATTGAGCGGACGTTTAACATTCGAAACAGACATGGGCTAAGTACAAAATATTTGCAAAACAAAGCAGGTGTCTGAGGAAAGTCTGGAAAATGTTTGCTTAAAGAATATCTTTAAGCTGTATTGTGATAGACGAGATTCGAAATTTATTAGGGGGATAACTCAATTGGAAAGTTTTTCATATACATATATGAACTCATTCCCTACCAACTTGTTATTGGTACAAACGTTGACAATATATGCATCTATAGGATATTAAATTCGACATCCACCCATACATTAGGCCCTTTTATTTAAAAACTGGTTTCAAAAAACAATTCTATTGGCAAACCCGGTTGCGCCATAATTACACGGTGCTGCAGTAAAAATGAGCTTTTTATGTTACCAAGTAGAGGTCGTAGATTTGCTCGAAATGTGTTTGAAAATTTCCTAACATCCTCTAAATCTCAACCTATTCATAAAATAAAAAAAACTTATGTCCGGCCTCACTTACAAAACAAAATTAGGCCCTTTAATTTCTCAGCAATTTTATTGGCTTTTGGGAAAATGGGTTGAATATGAGCATTTCCGACGGTCGGGAACTGTACGTTCGTACGCTTTTGAAGTTTAAAAACAAGGAAAACATAAAATGTAATATTTTTTTTTTTTTATGTTTCGATAGCAATTCTGCTAAGTATATCTTTGGTGCAAAAGGGATGATCTCTCGATTTTTCAATATGCTAGCAATAAACATGCGGTCGCGAACGTAGGAATAATGGAAGTCGCTTTTGGCAGCAAATTGAAAAATGCAAGAAACTGCGAATTGGAACAGAATATTCCAAAGCTAACTGTTACGCAGTTTTTTTGTAAATTGAAGGGTCCTTGATAGATTTTGCGCAGAAAGAATTTTATTGTAAATTGTCCAAAGATTTTACTTTAATTTTATTAATCAGTCAAAAAATTTTAATCCTAATTTGCATTCGCCAGCAGTGTAAACTTTGGGAGATACTTTGGGGAGTACTTTTTCTTAAGGTTTGTATAAAATACAAAAAACAGGAAAAACTGTATAGGGTTGGTCAAATGAATGGCCGTCCTAGTCACCAGTTCCAAGTCTATTCAATTTCTGAGTATGAGGTCTTACATATGAAGGACAAAAGGCGGAGTATAAAGGACTCAAAATGGAGGGAATTAGCCTAAGGTTACAGAAAATATGAAATAAATTAACCGACGAAGACATTCGTGCCGCTTGCACATTTCTCTCAAAGTGTTTCCCGCTGGTAAACGCAAATAAAGGCTAAAATTTAAAAACTAATTAATAAAATTTAAGTAAAATCTATGGAAAATTAATAATAAAATACTATTTTCGCAAAATCTATAAAGGATCCTTTTATTTAAAAAAAAACGGGTAACAGTTATTCGACGCTACCCTGTAAATGCTTTCTTGTAAAATTGTAGAAAAAATCTAACAATAAAATTTAAGTAAAATCTATGGAAAATTAATAATAAAATACTATTTTCGCAAAATCTATAAAGGATCCTTTTATATAAAAAAACGGGTAACAGTTATTCGACACTACCCTGTAAATGCTTTCTTGTAAAATTGTAGAAAAAATCTAACAAAGTGGATAATATAAAAAAAGTTTTGCAAATTTCAGCCTGATTGCAAATTCAAACTATTTTCACAAAAGTCGTTATTGATTTAAAAAATTACAACATTATTCTCTCCAAAGATATATTTAAAATTAACTTTGCCGAAAAATTAAAGGAACTAAGGCTTGTTTTGTAGATCGTTACCTCATCTATAAAACAAATTTGTTTTTTATGAATAACTTGAGAATTTGAGGGTGCTAGGAAATTTTGAAACACATTTGTGAACTACTCGACCTCTACTGGGTCATTGGAAAAGTTCGTGCAATTTTTGTGATTTTGTAGCACAGTGCTATGTGAGTACAAGTGTATGTACATAGTAACATAAACTTTATGTACGATACTGTATACTCGTACATTTTTAAGTTTTAGAACGATAGAAATAATAATTGGAAGATTTTATGAAAATTTCACTTCAAATACATTTTAATTTCTATAAATAAAATAAGTTATTAAATCTTCATTTGAATATCTTCAACATTTCATATTTTTTGTATGAAAGAAAACTACAAGTACAATATGTACTCAATTTGTTCAACGATGCTTTGAATTTGAGCATTGTAAATATTTTCTAAGTGTGGAGAATTATATTAGTTATCAAGAGAGAAATAAATGTTTTTTTGGGTATTTTTAGGTCCTCATGTAAATACATATATATGAACATACTTACATACATATGTACGTACATGTCTGTCTGGGAGATAGGGGTGTGATTTGACAAATAAAGTGTAAAGCTATGTACGTAAGGAATGGAAATAGTTCAACTAAGCTCAAGATTAATAATATTGGATTCTGTGTAATCTACAGCCTATAAACATATATAGTATATAATCGGTAGCCTTAGGATAGAAATAAACAAGGTACAAGATAATATTATTTCCTAAGCAAAAATTAGTTTAACAGGTATGGCGACAATGTACTCGAAACATCAAATTAGAATATTAGCCTTCCATAGGAAGCTGTGACGTAGTATGTAAGAGAATATGCTTATGAACACAAAAATGCTACTATACATACTTAAACAAACATGTGTATGAGTGTAAGACATATGAGGGATTCACAACGGTGTCATAAGCGTCGTATTGTTGTATGTCGTAAACTTTAAAAGCTTAAATAAATGTTTAGAGAACCTGAACACAATCAACTATTTTTGAACACTGCGAAAATTCATAATATGACTTTGATGGTACTTTGAGAACTTTCGTAGTATATTTTTTAGGCGTTTAAAGTTTACGACATACGACACTTACGGCACCGTAGTGAATACCCCAATACATATGTTTGTAAGGATTTAGGACATAAGTAAGTAATACCATAACGTTTGCTGGATGAACTTCTTATTCGAAAAATAAATAAAAAAATAGAAAATCGACCCAAGGTGTTTAATCAGTTATTTCTCCTTGAACAAAAACAAATAATGACAAAGTTTGGTAACTGAGTTAAGAAAATGTGTAATTTACATTCTAATATTATTAGTATTTTTATTTTCATTGTATAAAAAACAACATTTTTACAGTCCTTTAAATTCTTTTCATTTATTTTGACTTCACTTTCTTACTCGGCAAGAAAGTAGAAGACTGAATGACGCAACGGTGTTGGGCGTGCAAACCATGTGCGGCCTCACATGCACACTCGCTAACGATTTCCGTTCTGAAAAGTGTATCAGCTAACGTGTTTACAACTTGATTGAGAGTTTTCTTCTGTTCGTTAGGCTTCAGTTGATCAAAGTTCTGTGTTGAAAAAACCCAACCACCATTGTCAAGCACAAAATCGATGCCAACATCGTTTTCAAATTGCAGTTTTTGCCGTTTCTTTGCGTCCTTACCGTCTAATGTGGCAATTAAGCGAGAATTGAATCCTACAGGAAAGAGAAAAATATATTGCATATTTTAAGAGGAAACTAAAATATAGAAAACATACATCCATATACATATGTATGTATATAGCCTTATATTTCCCTTACCGACTAGTTTCTCTTTAGGAATGCCTTCCACGGATAATTCCTTTACAGGACCTATTAAGTGTAATAAAGCACCATTGAAACTGGTTGCTGCATCTGTTAAGTGAGCGCGTACCAATTTGAACTAAACAAAAATTTATTTGGTTGTTAAGAACAACAGAGATTTTTTGAGCAATAAGTTCTTACCAAATTGACGAATTCTACAGAATTGCTGCGAACTCCAACAATACTCTTTGCAGCACCTGCTCGGAATGGGTAGTTGAGGGCCAGACGGAAAGCTTTTTCATCAGACTGTGGAATGATGCTTCGTAGGAATACTTCAATGCTCTTGAAGATTTCAATCACTTTCGGATCGGCCACCTCCTGAGAGGCGCAGTGTATGCAAAAGTTTTTGGGCCCATTAAGCTGAATGTTGGCTATGTTACCTTGGTAGTTGGTTTTTCCACCATCACTAGTTAACAAAGCTGGATACAGCTGAGATTCGTTGTATGCAATAACTCCGATTTGCACATCGGTGAAGCCCCGCGTCTTTAGAGAGTCACGCACCTCCAATATCGCAGGTGCAATGAGGTTGCTTAATATAGTAGGGCTCACATCAATATCGACAACGAAAACAATATCTGCTTTATTATTTGGTATTTTTACAGTGAATTCCTGGCCGAGTTCTTTTTGCCCAACAGCACCGGGGCATTTCAAGCATCGTGATGGTAAACGAGTTGGAATATCCTTCAATTTTAACGCAGAACCATAGGCGGTGGCTATCGTACACGCTGCTGACTCTTTCTCCTTTTCGGGAGCTTCAGAGACTGCCGCATCACATCGTGCGCGGTAGGGTGAGGGATTTTCGAAAATATAGCCAGGAGTAAGGGACGACTCGAAACTGAATATCTCAGTGCAAATTTCTGAACGGGGAGCAGCGTCAACTGGTTGAGCAGTAATTGGTGCACATTTTCCGATTCCATACCCGTTGCCTAGCGTAGCATAATCTGGCGCGATTGTGCCATCAATTTGAACGAAATCATCATACGGCTCGGCATTACCATTGCCAAACAGACCGCGTGTCTTGCTAGTATAGAAACCATCTACTTTAATATTGCAAACCTTCAAGTCCTGAGTACACATGACTTCAGCACCGTAATCGGAATGCAACCAGACCGTGTAGAATAAACGCCAAGCATGAATGCTGTTGACATGTTGAGGGAATTCGGCTTGATTGCCATCGATTTTCAAGACTCCGGAGTCTGTAATCTCAGCAACATTGCCATCACGATCGGTTAATATAATACCTTTCAACTTGCCATTGTTGAGCTGTGCAACGACGGTAAAATTATTATCCAAACTGTCTTGTGCCAATATATACTTGCAAGTTCCTGGGAATGAGTAATGTTGACCATCGAACGTGAAGACTTGATGGCCATCAGCAATGTGAGCGTGTAGATTAAAGTCTTGGAACAATACCCAAGATTTGAGATATTCCTCGGTAAGTATTTTTTCCCAGTTCTCATTTATCAGGAAATTAAAAACGCTAAAGCGGAATGACAGTAAGTTAGGAATTTTGTCAAAGAAATCAAAGGTTTCAGATGTTGCACCCAATATAGAAGCAAGTATATTACCAGACACACTGGGTGAACTAACGTTCAAATTTATCCAAATCGAACGTACTGCACTCACAAGAAGTTTCGCTAGCTCTTGTATAATCTGTTCATCATTTATTTCTTTATTTGTGAGTTTCGCCTCAGTGTACTCATGTAATTTGTCTAAGAACTCACTAGACTCTTGGGTCAGTGGCAAAATGTGCAATTGGTCGAAAAGATTATTTAATAATTCTAGGGTATTCTCCACAAGTCGAAGTTTTTTCAATCTCTCCTTTAATTCGTTTTGAAGTGCATCAAGCGTAGGAAGTTTCGTAAGATATTCCCTTAATTCTTCGAAGAAATCCTGAATGGCGTCCGTTACCACTTTGACAAGTTCTTGCACTGCCTCATTCAGCGGCTTCAAAGCTTCGTTAATTGTCTTACCATAGGTTTTCAACACAGGGCCATATTGTTCCAATACACTCCACACATCCTGGACTAATTCGGTTAAAAGGTTTACTACTTGTATGCGTATGTCTCCAAGAACTTTCAAAGCGGTAACTAGAAGCTCCTCCCATGCAGGCAGTATGGTCTCTTTTAGTGTAGCTTCCAATTTTTCGTAAAGCTCCGCGACGGACTTATGTAAGTTTTCATAGGATTCAGCAGCACTCTGTGATACATCCCCAGCAATTTTTGCAACTCTCGTATAAATCTTTTCACTTAAATAAAAATTAATATTCACATATTAAAATATATACAGATATACAGTTAATGTATTAACTTAATACTCGTGAACTTACTAGCTTCCACTTATCTGCTTAAAAGCCGGGTCACTTTCGAGCTCGTTTACTATTCCGTTAATATTTGCTTCATAGTTTGCTTTCAGTTTCGAAAGATCAGGTGTGCCGTCTTTCAATAATTGTGCTTGCTTATCTACCGTTTCGCGTATATGCTTAAATTTCTCCTTTATTTTTTCTACTGTCGCTTCAGTATCCTTTTTGACTTCGGCTTCAACAACATTCTGAAAAAATTCAAAAGTGTTTTTAAGAAAACTAAAATATTTATAAACAATATTCAGCTAACCCACCAAAAACGATTTGATGTCGTCGCTGTTGCTCGAGTAGGTAGTTTGTAAGAAGTTGACTGCATCTAAAGCAACGCGACCATTGAGCAGTTGCTTACCCACGCCTTGAATGTTAACTTTCAGTTCTTTCCCAAGCTTAACATCAGCATCCAAGTCGAGGAGATTTTTTCGCTTGATTGAGATCTTTGACTCTGTTGGTTGCAATTCGACAACAAGTTGGACCGGAGCTTGGCTGAATAGTTGAGCTTTACTATCTATCTTCAATGCGTATTTTTGGTGGTTAAAGTCGGCTGCCACCTGCAAAACTGGCTCATTCAGAACGTAAATGGACACATCACTATGCTCCTTTGTTGCGTAAACATTGGCTATGGCCTTCAAATCTGATGCACCACTATTAATAAGGACACCAGCAGTAAATATTTCCAAGTCTACATTAAGCGCGGTATGACCACTGAATTCATAGTTGAAACCAAGGCCGGTGGAACGCAGCGATTCAAAAGTAGTAATATTGAAACCATTGCCTTGTTGAGTATTTTGTGTGCGCAGAGACCCGATAATCTGTTGTTCCGGCAAACGGAATATGTCCAAAATTACTTCACTGTTAACAATACTTTGCTGGCGGTTAGCATCAAATTTACCAGAGATTGTTAGTGGGCGAATAGTTGGATGTTCAAACGTGATTTCCGAATTCACATTTATAGCTGCGAGTTGAGTACCAGTTACATCAGCAATTGCCCGCAAACTCGTGACATCATTTGGTTTGTTCGTTTTGTCTAAGTAGAGTGCGAAAGAGTTCTCATAGTGTCCAAAGAATTTACCTTGTTCGGGGAATTGCTGTTTCGCTTCAAGAAGAAGTTCACGGTGAGGTAATTTCACTTGAACATAGGAGTTTGTTGGTTGTATGTTGGCAACTAATTTGTACTTTAAATTATTATTCGAAACAATTTGCGATTCCAAGCTATATTGGAGCTTCAATCCTTGACGAATAGTTTTTGACTGGAATTCAAGTTCGTAAGGGTACCCAAGTTCCCGCAAATCAATTACAACAAGTAATGAATGTTGAGGCGAGTTAATGTCTTGGCCATTTTGAGAGACAATTGACTGAACTTGTACGTTGGTACATTGTTTTTTCTCTTCACATATTGATAACTTAACATCGGCCTCTTTATTTGTAATTTTTAAGGTAGACACACCTTTCTTGGGTCCAAAAGTGCCATCCAACGTGTATGAGAAACCTACTTCTTTGTCGATATTGATGTCATATATTTGATGTATAAGTCGGAAACTTGTTTTCTTTGATTTTCCATTGTACTGTACCTGACCCTGTCCTTCGAGAACGTTCTTGTTCTTATCCTTCTTCTGCGAGTATGTTGCGCTGCCAGCAAAAATTACACCTTGGGCGTTCTTTAAATTGAAAACTATTGTCTTGCCCTGTGATCGCACGTCCAGAATGTAATTTTGAAGATTTAATTTTGCTGAGTTCCAATTTGCTTGTATAGAGAAATCATCAATACTTTTATATGATGACTCGGAGTTATACAAGATGTCTAAATCAATCAGATTTTTAATATCGACCGTAAGTTTCGATTTATGTTCACTCAAAACTTCAAAAAGTCCAACTACCACTACTGGATTGCCATTGGGAGTTGTGACATGCAAGTCTATGCCTTTTTTGTATTCCGATTGATAGATTTTGGAATCAGATGAATATACATTTTCACCACTCTTTGCCTGCCACTTAATCTCATATCCATCGACTTCAAGCTTCTGCAAACGTATATCCACATCAATATCTTTGGTTGATTCAAAACTACTGTCCAATTTGTAATGAAGGGTGGCTGTATTAACACCAGTATAACTGAGATCGGCGGAAGTTTTGACAAAGTTATTATTATAGTCATAGTTGAACGAATACCGCTGTTTTCCACTAGCTGATCCATCTTTGACAGCTCCTTGATGTTCATGCTGGTAAGTACCCTCCAATTTCAGTGGTGCATGCATCTCTTTAGTTTCCAAGTCGAATGTATATGCGCCCTGTTGCTGTGAACCCTTCCACATGGTGTTCAAACGTAAGTACTGATTGTCGCCAGCCTGTTCATCTACGTGCAGTTCAATATCATAGATACCACTTTTTTCGGATGGCTTTATCAATTTACCATTGGAACTAAACTGAATCGTTTTGATGCTACTTTTTGGTAATTGAACATTACCTTGGACTTCATACGTTGCTGGGCTTCCATTAGCACCTAAATTATATCTACCATTAACGTTGTAATTATAGGTACCTCCAAATTTAAGGTCGATTCGGAAAATTGCATGTCTGCTATCATATTCATCAACTACGAAATTGAAATCGGCAGGTATATTTAGGAAATCACCACGCAAGTTGGATTTAATTTCGATGGTTTTGCTTTGATCCTTGGGTAAATGTTTTAAGTTTGCACCTAATTCTAATTTCTTATTATCAAAATTAGTAAATGTGAGCTGAGCGTTTTGAGAAAGTTCCTTTGTTTTAAAATTAAATTTGTCAGCATGAACTGTGTACCCCAAAGTCCGTTTTTTGCCATTAATTGTTTCACTTAGTTGTACTTCGAGATTGCCCTGAGCGTTCCCGGTTTTGGTATTGGTTGTAACTTTGCGTTTGACATTACCTTCTGCAACATGGCCCGACGGAGAAGTTAGAACAAAGTTGCCTTGCAATTCACCATTTGCTTGCCAAACCCCTTTAATTGCGGCATTAGCATCGAGTGAAATTTTTTTATTTGAAATTTCTGCTAAGTTTTTAGTTGAAAATTTAACTTTATCCAAGTGGCTGTCTGTCTTAAGGGATATTTTCTTCTCGCCGTCAATGATTATTGTAGTTTCCACTTCATATTTAGGTGCCTGAATCTGGAACTTTGAGTTCACGTCAAGTTTGTGCTTCTTCTCGGAAATTTGTGTTTCTATAGCCACATTGGCTTCACCTTTACCATTCTTGGCGACTTTAAAATCACCTTTAAGCGTCGCTGAATTTTTGACGAACAAAGTGATTTTACCCGCAGATATTTTATCTTGTGGATGCTGCAATTCGCCGTTATATTTGAGTACCTCAGTGTTATCTCTTGAGACTTCCAATTCGCTAATTGTCTTTTCGGGTGCGCCAATAACCTTAACAATCCACTGAATGGGCTTATCTTTCTTGCTGAGTTGCGCTGCACCACTAACTTCAATATATATATCTTGAGCGGTGAAACGTTGACCTAGCTCACCTTTAACGGTTACAGATGTACCCCAACTGGTTACAAGGGAATTATCGATAATAAATCGATTTCCATTGAAGTCACTCTTAGCGATGATATCAGCAAAATGTTTGTTATATTTTCCATGAATTTCGATAATATAATCGCCTTGGGTGTGCCGATTACCATCGTATTTTACGTTAAGACCAGCGACTCTCTTGCCTCTCAATAATTCGGTATCCAGCTCCAGTTTGTTGCTACCAGAGGAAAGTCCATTCAATTTAAATTGACCAACAACTGATTTTTTATTTTTTACTGTTATATCATGCTTGAAACTGCTGAATGCAAGAGCGTTCGGTTCCTCAGGAATTGTGTACTGCACCTCGTTATTGAAATTCACTTCCCAGGCTGCCGCCGCACCTATCAACTGCGCTATGTATACATGCTCTGCTAGCTGGACATGTACGGATCCCCCATAGACATCATCGGGTGCACGTTCGTCGTTTGTAAACAATCCAATATCGTACACACCTTTATCCACTTTGAAGTTACCTCTTACGAGATATGAATCTTTTCCAACGCCTATACGTAATTCATTGTTCAACCAAGCTGGCCCCACTTCTGTCCATCCGTTTACGACAACACGTTCATTTTCCTTATTTGATATTTGGAAATTATCGAACAAGTATTTTGCTTGCCTGTCGCCTGTTTTTTGCAAAACGACCTTACCATCCATACGATATCCGTTAATTTCATTGGATATACCACTCTGGTCCTGTATTTCAATAACGGGACGATATTCATTACCATTGCGAATAAATCCTATTCTGTTTCGCTTGACGTCGTCATTGTTTTCATATTGAGCATAGAAGACCAACTCTTTGTTGTCATTGTTAAAACCGGACTCTAAAGCAAAGTGATACAGTGGGGTATTAAAAGCCAGTCGTCCATAAGTGCGAGGATTTGACCCAAGTTCAAAAGTGACGCTAGCAGAATGAGATTCTCTTGATCCTGGAGTATTCAGTTCTAATTTCCATTCCTGACTTCCACTATTGGTCTGTGGCACATATGAACCCTGTAGATTATATTTCCTTTCGACTTTAGTGTAGACACTCAGGCTTACTGGATGTAATAAGGTGTAAATATCATCGATAATAGCTGATTCTTCCTTTAGAATAGCAACACCCGCCGCATCTATACATAAATTAAGCCCAATGGTGTCCAATTGATTAAAACACATGTTAAACTTATCGGACCTTTGTTTTTTGACATCTTTTGGCGTGATGACCTTTGCAGGCTTATCAAGTTCAGATATGTAAAATCCAGGTATGAACTCCACATCGACCAATTCTAATTGGTTTTGGGGCAACTCTATATCTAGATTGAATCCATTTCCTTCATTAGTTAACTCGAATTTAATGTCAGAACCGGTAGCTGAATGAAGACTGGACTCTACCTGAAGCCCTGTAGCTAAAACATACGCGTTAAAGCCAAGTTGTAACTTTAAACTGACATCAACACTTGGTACAACTTTCACCTGGAATTTGGTGACCAGCCAATTCTGATCAAGGATAGCATCAACATCAAGGTTTATACCGAAATCTAATTTATTTGCGGCAGAACCTTGCGCATTCAATTCCAGCGGAATACCAACACCAGTAGGATAAATAGCGTTCAGATCAAGGAAAAGATCATGCACAGTGAATTCCCTCTTAAATGACGAAAGTTTTTGCTTTGCGCTATCAAATATCGATGAAAAGTCTTTAATGATATCTCTTAGAGAGCCTGGAATTTGATCCCCCAAGCTAAGGAACAACATTTCGGAACCGAAGAACTTCATCGATAAGTCGAGGTTGACGTCTTGGATGTTTTTAGTCCCATATGTTTTATATTTTTTCGAGACTTTGGATGTGTCATCAGCAATAGAGCGACGTGTGCGTTCGCCGGGGGAAGGATTACCTCCTACATCTATCTGTTTCATTATTTCATCAAAGTCCTTATTAAGCAATCCTTTTGGCCCCACATAATATTCTAAAACGTTCTCTAAATTTTCTTGCCTCGCACTTAATTCGAAAATATTGTAATTAGTGCCGAAAATCTCAGTACTTACATTCAGCCTTGCCGAACGGGGCAAAAATCCATGTTGTGAGTATATCAGTTTATAATCTGAACTTGCACTAACACCCAGAGCATCTAGTTTGTATGATACTTCATCGTTGTAACTATAGCGCCTAGGGTTCTTGGGGAAATGTTTCGTAACCCTAATATTACCCAAATGGTGGCGCTGATTGACACGGTCAATGTCTGTTGAATCCCGAATCGCTCTAAGATTGGATGCAATAAATCCACCAACTTGATTTACAGGCTCTGAATTAATAATGTCTGCAATTTCGATGGCCAAATTGGCAGTGGGGCAGTTAATAGCTGCTAAATATGCTTCAATTCTCAGCTCCGAGTCTTCGTTACGATCACGCAGTAAAGCCAAAGCTTTCTGAGCCAATACTGAATCGCAGCTGGCTGAAGCAAAAGCCTGCAATGCTGCCACACGAATACGTGTCGACCGTCCCAATGAAGCGCATTCAGTTAAAACCACAGCAGCTTGGCTGCTTAGGTGCTCAATATTTGCAATACCTTTCAATATATTTACAACACGATCTTCATCCTTCTTTGTGTTGGCTTTGCAATGCTTTAGATTATCCGTGAATTTTTTGGAGATCGCATCCAAGTCTCCTTGTTCACATCCATTTGCATTGCAGTATTTGGCAACAAGTGCTCCAATGGACAAATATACCTGCTTTGGTGCATTGGGTGTTAATAGAGTTGCTGCTTGATTCAAGGTATCTTTATCAATTGTTTGCACGAAGTTTAGAGAAATAATGGCGATTAGCTTTTCATGTTCGTCCAATTTGTTAAACTGCTTTAAAATGGCTTTGGCAGATTCAGAGGTACCGGTGCGGAACAGTGCATCTAGATAGACTTTACGCGACAAAACATTGTTCGGTTGTGGTACAGCGGCCAACTCGAGCAGGGTATCCGTGTCTGCATTTCGCATCAAACGTATAAGCTCAGTAAAACTTTTGGCACTGTCTTTTTTCACATATCCGTTCAATAAGTCAACTAGTTGAGTTAAAGCAGTTTTTAAAGCTGCTAAATTTTTCGTTGCATATGACTCCGGTTTCTGGAAAACAACTGAGGTCACATGAGCGCCTGTCTGCGGGGAAGTAGCAGGTACACCAGCTGGGTTTTTGACTTTCAGGTTCGTAATTACTCTTCCGCGCACACTTTGAATGCCTTTCTCTGCCACACCAAAATTGTAGTCTTCAACTAAATGAACGTTTTCGATTACACCATTCGAAATTTTTGATTCCTTGGCATAGCTAGCCTTGAAAAGGTGGGTAGATTTAATTCCAGCTGCTTGATTCACAATACCATGAATTAAGCCACTTCGGGTGTCCTCTCTGTAGCTGCATTGATTTAAATTACGCGTTTTGGTCACAACTTCCGCTCCACCAACTTTCGATACCGATGTGTGCGTCGGGCACATGCCAAAGACATCAATCTCTGTACCGTCTTCTGTGCTAGATTGCAACAGAGAAACGATAGCTCGTTTAATATTCAAAGCATACTGATTGTCATTTGGATCAGAGCACAATTGTGGTTCTAGTTTTCCGTTCCCTAATGTAAAATGTACAGGTTTTTGAATGGTCTGTGCAATCTTCTTGTCAATGGCTTCTTTGGTGGCTGAGACTTTCACAGCACTCAGTTGTAGTGTGTAGTCACAATTGCCTTCAGCGAAAACTTTGGCAATTCCAACTAGTTTCAAGCTTGTGTCATCGCTATCTGTCGATACTCCAGTGCCTAGTCCGACTGCCAGAACAGATTCGAAATTGTATTCGTACACATTTCCGGGTTGATATTTTAATATCCCACTGTCAGCTGTATAAAAAATAAAAAAATAATGAATATACATACATTATCTAAAGTTCTTTTATGCTAATAAATATATAGTATACGAAAATACTAAAGTTTTCAAATAAAAATCTGCCATTTTAGCAAACAACCCGCCATATTTACAACGAAAGTACTCAGATAAAAGAGTGACATATATTTAGCTGTTTATTTCCTCAATGTGCCTTAAGTTTTACTTATTCATGAAAATTTCAATAAATACTAAAGGTGTTTTCATGATTCATCTTTGTAACTCTTCTGTTACTATTTTAACAAACTACAGATCTATAAACCCTTCATTTTAAGTTTGGTTGAATGCGAATAGCCATAGCGTCTGCACTGAGAAAATTTGGCAATATTTGGAAGCTATTACTTTGGTTTGGGAACTACCACTTTTTCTTATTTGGCCGCCCTTCCTCCGCTACCAGCATCGGGTCCCGAGTTGAATACTTACGGAGCTGCAGCGTCGGTATCCAATCGAACGAGATGGCCAAGCCAGCGGAGGTGTGGTATTTTAATTAGCTGCACTAAGTCCATGTCATTGTTAAGCTCATACAGCTCATCGTTTCATCATCTGCGGTACTCGCCGTCGTCAATCCGGAAATCTTCCGCAAAATTTTTTCTCGAATACTCCAACAGCCGCCTGATCGGATGTTGTTATTGTCCATGCTCGTGCGCCACGTACCAGCTCGGGCATCATGTGTGACTTCTATAGTGTGGTTTTCGTACCTCGAGAGAGGACTTTACTCCTGAATTTCCCACTCAATCCAAAGTAGCACTTGTTGGCAAAAAGGATTCTGCCTTGGATTTCGATGCTGACAATATTACCGGTGTTAATGCTGGTTTCCAAGCAAACGAAATTCTTTACTTTCTCGAAGTTATAACTGTCAACAGTGATGTGGATGCCAAGGCGCGAATGCGCTGACTGCTGGTCTGATGACAGGAGATACCTTGTTTTGTCCTCGTTTGCTACCAGACCCATTCGCTTTGATCTAAAATCCAAGAAGGCAGAGTAGACGTAGCCCTTGTTTTAACCAATAATGTCGATGTCGTCGGTATACGCCGGCAATTGCATGCTCTTGTAAAGTATTGTGCCTGCACGGTGCAGTTGTGGGGATCTTATGATCTTCTCCAACAGTAGATTAAAGAAATCATACAAAAGGGAGTCACCTTATCTGAAACCTCGTTTGGTATCAAACGGCTTGGAGAGGTCCTTCCCAATTCTGACGGAGCCGGTGATATTGGTCAACGTCATTTTACACAGTCGTATTATTCGCGAGGATACCAAATTCAGACATCCCGGCATGAATACATTCCTTTTAGTGATGTCGAAAGTGGCTTTGAAATCGGCAAATATATGGTGGTGTCGATCCTATTCTCGCGAGGCTTTTCCAAGATTTGGCGTATTGTGAATACCTGCTCAATGGTAGATTTGCCAGGTCTAAATCCACACTAATAAGGCCCAATCAGATCGTTGCCGGTAAGTTTCAGTCTTTCAATAAATATGCTCGATAAGACCTTGTAACCAGTTCTTACAAAGGTAATCCCGCGGTAGTTGGCGCGATTGGCTTGCTCACTTTCCGGTGGATTGGACGAAGCACACCTTAATTCCAGTCGTCGGGCATGCATTCACCTGACCATACTTTGCATAAGAGTTAATGCATTCACCCTATCAGCTTCTCGCCGACGTACTTGAATAGCTCAGCTGGCAGGCTGACAGCTCCAGCGGCTTTGTTGTTTCTCAGCCGCGTAGTTGCTATTTGTGGAACACCGACTCCGTCATCATCGACTGGAGGTTCAGGTTCGTTTTTTCCACAACTTTTCGTGCTGATACCTTCCGTCACTCTCTCAGATAAAATTTTCGGACTTTTTTTCAGTCGGCCAGCATTTCAAGCTCTTCGCACTCACGTATTTCGGAATTTCTCTTTTTATTGCGGCAAATATTCTTTTTTATGTAATTGAGGATGAATTTACAATATCCGAAATACTCTTTTTAAAGAAAAGCGAAGAAGAGTCGGAGTTTTTCGAATGAAATGAAGATAAGGCACTCAAGTCCTTAGAAAGTCGCAGGTCTGTCTTATGTATTTCGTTTACATATAATATTATTAATGGTATTGTTGATTGTCCGTATTTGTTAGAGAGGATAAGATTTAATGTCCCCAGGTGATCCCTTAGAAATTTCCTTCCATTTGATGGTTGTAATGGTAGAACACAATACGCCAGTAATGCCCCGATTTATCGTGCCATTCGTGAATTTAATGCCATGAATAATGTAGTCGAGGTAGACTTTTCAATCCCAAAGACAGCTTTTTTAAATCTTTTGAATTCCTATTTTTAGCTTTATGAATTATTTCTAATAGTTCTAAATTAATTTTGTACTCTTCTAGTCTGTAATGTTATTATAAAACCATAGACTAAATAAATAAATAAATAAATAAATAAATAAATAAATAAATGCAACATAAAGCTTTGCCATTGGTCTTTTGAATTGTCATTAATATCTATCTTAGGTACATTTGAAAAATAATAAAATTAATATTTTTCATTTCTAAAAACAATTTTTTGTATTGTTTTTTTTCGTGGCTCTTTGTAGCATTTAGAATTTGCATGTGACTCTTTTCGGCCTCGGACTTGCCCACCCTGTACTATAACCAATTTTAGATAAGTGCCGTTTAAAAAAATATATATATACAAAAAACGGATATATCGTCACTAGACACGAATAAAGGCGCGTGCTAAAAGGTTGGCCGCGAAAAAAGGCACATAAATAAAACTTCAGCGAAGAAAGACTCTTACAGTCCTAATCTGCTTGTAACCGAACATTTTGTAACAAGCTAGTTTTGTTACCAACAATTGTCACCACTTCTCCACGTCGTTAAATGTTGCCGCATTACGGAGGTGCAAAACAATTTTTTATAAATAACTTCACAACCCTGCAGTGAAAAGCCAAACCAGTTAGAAAAAATACTAGTTCATTAACTAGTATGTGCCTACCAGTTCGACAATTTCGAAGAACTTAGGCGATCAGCGACATCTATCTTTGAATTGCCAAAGCCAAAATTAAAAAAAGGTATTAATTGCTTTTCTTACAAATGTCGGCTGTGGCGTCACGTGAAAACTACTGGTTCTGGTTCTGAAATCGCAGGTTCGAGGCCGCTTGGAGGTGGTTACGATTTTTAAAGTTAATAAATGTAAGTAAAAATAATTTATTCAATTGATAAATAAATAACAAATTTCAAAATTTAATTGCATTGCAAAAAAACATTTAGGAAGAAATGCTTGTGCTATAAAAACAAAGAAATTAAACAAATTTTTTTTTTTATTGAATTTAAAAATCACAATAAATAGCCTAAAAAAAATAAATTTATAAAAAATAAAAATAAAATAAAAAATATAAAATAAAAAAGTTTTCCCTGCGCCAGGATTTGAACCTGGGACCTCAGGCTTACCACGCGAGTGCTTTGCTCTGTCGGCCATTGTGACTGCTGGAGCGTCGCGAGCAAAAAGGCACACTTATGCTTTTCACGGGGCATGAATTGGCAGACTATCTCATCAACTGGTATGATGCTACTAGTATTTATACTAGTAGATGCTGATGCATAGCCTGACAATTGACATCTCGTAGGACATCACAATGTTAAAAATACCAGTCGCTAACATTGAAAGAGGATAGAACGTGAACTAGTTGGGTTGAAACGCAAACTGGTAGAATTCTAGTTCACAACTAGTAGCTTTCCCTGCAGAGAATTTTCTCGTTCGTTTGGCATACTATATAACTACCTTAATTTGCACCATTGTCTATAATATTACTAAAATTCTTCGTCATAAGTAACTTTTACTGAAAGGCGACAAATTATGAAAAAAAAAGAAAATTTATTTTTGTATGTGGGTTAGATTAGTAAGGCTGGATGTTCTTGGATTTTTACATTAAAAAGACACTTTCGGAAAAAGTACGAAATATAACATATATTATTGCAATTATTGCTATTTATATCTGCATATTTGGACCATGTATTTATTTATGTGCGTATATATGTATATGAAGATTCTCACTTCTCGTACAATACGAAAATAGCTCAGCGGGAAGACCTCCGACTCTAACATCCTTGGTCACGAGTTCAAATCGCGGTGGAGGCAGTTGTGATTTTCAGATTTAAGAAATTTAAATTGTTAAGTGCCGCTTAAAAATTGGAGAGAAAGTGACCAAATAATATAATATAATAAAAAAATAAAATAAATAAAAATTTAATAGAATGCAATCTGTAAAAGAACAGAAAAAAAGAAAAAATATCAAAAAATCGAATAATCAGATTTTTTTTTAAATAAAAAACTTATTGTCGCAGATCTGTCTAAAATGGAACCAGTTTAGAATAGAAAAATAATCTAATAGTCGAGTTTTAAAATTTTTTCTCATAGAAAAACTTACTGTCCCAGAACTGTCCAAAATGGAACCAGTTTAGAACTAGTTTGAAAGTTCTGCAGAGGGGACCATTTCCACTTCGTCGGACATCGCCATGTAAAAAGAGACAGTTGAAAGCACTGCGTTGGGATAGATCGAGAACCAGTACCGCCTCTTAAAGAGCTAGTTCTCCGCTAGTCCTGAGCTAGCTAGAAGGACGCGTAAACTTATTTTCGCGGTCAACTTTTTTTGCGGGTGTAACAGTATGTAAATTCCCCAAAGAGATTTGGGGAATGATGCTGAAGTGACAGCCCTTGGTCAAATATAAATCTATGATTACGCGTCTTTCTTAGCCGTCAACTAGGTTACGCATCTTTCTTCGCCGAAATTTTTCTTAAGCGCCTTTTTTCGTAACATTTTTTGTATGCGTCTCTTTTCGCCATCGAAACACTAGCGCGCCTTTATTCTTGTCTAGTGACGATATATACTGTTTTCGTTAAATGTTGCCTTATTACGGAGGTGCAAACCAATTTTTTATAAATAACTTCACAATTTTCTCTTTCGTTTGGCATACTATATAACTACCTTA